AAAAATAGTTGTAAGCAGCAGAAAAGATAATATTTTTATAATATAAATCGATAAAATTTTTAATTTTACTATATTTTGACCTACTTAAATCTTCATTTTTCTCATATAAAAGTTTTAAATAGAAGACAAAAAAATTTTATAAATGATTAAATCAAAACTTTCAGATTCAGTTTATTGTTTTGTCAATTTTTTTTTCTGATATAAGTTACTTTGATGCTTTATGTATCACATGATTATTGCGCATTAGAGATTATTATATACTGATTGCTCTAAATTTATCATATAAATCTGCTCTGTTGATTGGTGAATTAGCAATTAATAGAATAATGTATAGAGAAATAAATGCTAGCATGTCTTTAACAATTATATTTCATAAAATACTTGAAAAACTTGAGACTAAAAATATGAATAAAAGATAAGTAAAATGTATAGATTCATTTAATATATATACTGTTATAATCTAACATTATTTATTTAGATTCTTAACATTCAAATATTCAAAAATATATTATTTTCAATCTTTAATAATTATAATTGTATTTTATGATGTTAATTTATAATTAAATGAGTAGTTATCATCTTCCTTATATACAAATATTAAAAACAAATATGTGAAGTTTCAGTTTATTATGTAAAGCTAGTTAAAAATAATAAAATTTCAAATAAGTTATCATATCACTAAGAATTTACTTTAGAGAATCAAATTAATCCAGAATTAATCAATGAGAAAGATGATTTAATAATTACATTATTTATAGAAAATCAGTATAAAAATAAAAAAATTTTTCTTAAAAATCTCTTATAAGAATTCAATGTTGATAACATTTGTGAAATTTGGTAAGTCAAATCATTATTAGCTCAATCACCAAATTCTTGTCAATATATAATAATTTCAAAAATAGTAGGCATACATGTATCTATCTATTATTAATTAATAATGAAATAATTTTTACCATTTTTTAAAGTGATAATAGAATCTAATTTCACAAAATTTCAAATTAATATGATTCAAAAAGATAGTATAAGAACACTTAAATCAGATTTAATAAAAATTAATAATTCATCAGTTGTTATGCTTGGTAGTAGTAATATTAATAATATTAGTAATTCTGAAAAAAATCAGCTAATTAATATTGATTTTATGCAACAAATGCAATTTTTAATCAACATATTCAACCTTTAGCTATTCAAAATAAGTTCTTAAAAAAAAGAATATACTATTTTAATAGGACTTTCTAGAAAAGCTTCTCAGTTGGCAATAGAGGATAGTGATATTGAATTAAAGGATTTTTTGAATAGATATATTAAAAAGAGAACAAAAAATTGTAAAGAGCAAGAATTTAATAGGAGATTAAGAGTAATTGATAATGTAATAAATAAGAATGTAAGAAGTATAAAAATTAATGATAAGATTTTTTTGAATCTAATAAGAGAATATATGTTACAGATAAAATTAATGATCAATTAGAATATATTACAAAAGATCATTTAGCTAATAAAAGATTAAAATCTAGCATATCAATTTTTAGTAAAAAAAGTAATAACAATTTAGATAAAAAAAATGCTAATAGAAAGAAATATGTATATAGTAAATGTAAAGAAATAGGATATAATTTAAGAACATGTAAGAAATAAGACATGTATAATAATAAAATGATAATATTAATGCTAAAAATATCTATAACTCAAATTACAGTAGTAATTTGAGCTCAGCTCTCTTCAGTTACCATATATTTAACGATATTCATTATTTATTTAATATATAAAAATGCATATATTATTTAATAAATATACTTTATTAGTTATAATTTTACGTGATACAATTATTATAATAATTATCACATATTTTATTATATGATATAAATAGGAGAAGTGAAGTAACGAGAGGTGACAAATAAATTTTTCTTAAATTAATTATATAAAATTATAAAAAATTATATATATAAATTATTTATAAAATATGCTGATAAAACATATATAAATTATGTATATAATACTTAATTTAAATATTTTATGTATCTGTAATTCTGTCTTTTTTCTTATATTATATATATTATAATTTTATATATATTATACTTTATATACAAATACAAAATCACATTATTTTTATTTTTATATATATTTATGTTGTTAATAAAGCAATTGACCAATCATAACGAAGTCACATAGATAATATAGTATGATAATCTCATAATCTAAATTTCTAAAAATACTAAGAATTCTACAAATTCTGAAAATACAGAGGATTTACATAATTTTGCAGATCTTTTAAATACTGATAATAATTCTAATTTTACGAATTAAACGAAGTTTAGAAATATTTAGTATTATACTTATTTTTAATATTCTAATTTTTATTATTATTTTTATTATATTACGTATTTTTATTTTACTTATATTTAATTTATTAAATTAGTTAGTTTATAGCATATTAAATAGTTAGTTATAACAAAATAAATTTTGTATAAATAGATAGACTTATTACTTATTATAAATTAACTCTTTTGCGAATATGAGTTTTATTAAATTGTTTATAATTTTGTCTTTCAAGTTTTCATACTTGATAAGATTAGTTTAAGTTTAATGCGTAGATTTGATAAAGTTAAGAGTTTGGCAAATCCTAACATCTTAACTACAGTAAGCTGCAATTAGTAACTTCAAGTAGAAACTTAATAACATAATCAATCCAAGTTGAAAAATTCCACAGTAATAATGTATACAAATTTTTTATAAATAATTAAATATTAATAAAATAATAAATTATAAATTTAGTAATAATATGATAAATTAATTATATAAATAATATATAAACTAGGTAACAGAAACTGTTAGAATGTCTGAAGTATAACATTCAAAATATATTCTCTATTATATAATCAATATTATATCATAATAATCAAAATTATACATAACTGCAATATTAAATTAAATTAAACAGATTGTATAATTATGCTATGATAAATCAAGATTATCCTTAAATATTTTCAAACACAATAAACTTAAAAAACTGAAAAAAATTTCAATGAAATTTGTAATTTATTTTTATTTTTAATTTTTAAATATTTATATCAAAGAATATTTTAAGAAATCATAGAAATTAAGCATCTTTCTTTAGCTAAACTTTCTTGTAATCTCTTACAAGCTTTAACATGTTAAAGTCTTTCAAGTAAAAATGGATTAAAAATGATATTTTTAAAAATACAGACACAGGATATTATCACAAATGATAGACCAGCTGCAGACTTCCTTTTACCAAGATCTATAAAAGATTTTATATCATTAAACCTTAACTTTTATGTATCAGTATAGCTCATGTAAGACAAATAGGAATTTGCAAGCATGAGTAAGAACCTTTTTTTATTTCCAGGTATATCTAATGGATATAATCAGAACTAATTTTTTACCTTTAGTAATCTCAATAGCAGGGACAGAATAGTTATTGAATTCTATTAGAATCACATTAGAAAGAGAAGAAGGATCTAATTTTTTTCAAAAATAATCTTTTTAATGATTCTTACTAAATCATTAACCAAATCCAGGTTCAGTCTATAAATATAACTTTCGTATATCTCATTAGTAGTAAGCAAGTTTCAAGCCCTTTTATAATGTTAGAATCTGCTTCATGTATTTTACTATCACTCATATAAATGGTATTTATTTAGAGTTTTAAATAGATTAGTTCAGATCAGATTAATCAAATTATCTAAACTGAGAGGATCAAGTCAGGTTAATCAAAAATCTGACCTGATTTAAATTTTCATTTGACCTGACCTAATCTAACTTAATTTAATCAAATTATTTAAATTATTTAATAAACAATATATTATATATAATTGTATTTAAAACTCTAATTTATTTTATTATTTTTCTTTTGCTTTTTCTGTAAAAAAAATTGTATGCGAAATGATATAGAAATTTTTAATTTGATAATTAATTATAGTTGTATAATTAATTATATTTGCACATTTAATTACAGTTGCACAATTAATTACAATTACACAATTAATTATTATTATACTGAAAATTAATTTTCCAATCTTTTTTTTTCTTTTTTTACTTTTATTTTATTTAACATAATCTTTAAAAAAACAATCTTATTTTTTAAATACTTAAACTTGTATGAATTCTTACGAAATGTAATTATTTTTATTTTTATAAATTTTAATTTTTATATATACAAGTACTGATTAAAATTATGCAGACAATTTTCAAATAAAAAAAATTATACAAAAAAACATATATTGGAAATAAAATAAGGTAAAGTATATTCATTTTATTATCATTTATTAATTTTTACAAAATAAAATTCTGATACTCTTAAAGTGAATCCTAAAAAGAAAATGGACTAAGTATCATTATAAAATTATTTGATGATATCATTGCTTTTGTATACAATGAATGCAATCTGCTAATGTTCTTTGACGATTAAGGAAAAATGGATAATCATTCCAAATTTAGCAAATAAATTTCATATAACTTCAGACTTAAAAAAAGGAGGATGTCTAACACTTTGATAGTGTGACCTTTTTATACATTTAATTTTAGTTGTTTTGCATAGAATCAGCAATTAGAAAGATCAGATTATGTTGTGTTTTCTGCACTTTTGTGACAGTATGTATAAGGCTTTCTAAACTGTCATGAATTTTCTATTTTTAGAAAGATAGTTAGATCTTTGGAACCATTAAAATAAATGAAAAATGCATTAATAAAATTTCATTTTTTTGCTATTGATTTACCTTTTATATTTGCCATATTGTCAGTGGTGTAAAATCTAGTAGGCACAGTAATTATATTAATTTGTCAATCTTTCGCATTCTTATTATTAGAAAAATAAAGAATGTATACAATAATTTTGATTTGTTGATGTTATTTATTTGTTTTGTATGCATAGAATCTTTTGCAGTTTGAAGAGGAACATTATGTATATTTTCAGTAGAGTTAGAAGTTGAGAGAATAATATTATTTATTTTCATGTTAACAGTTTTAGTTATTATTGTTAGAAAGTGTTTAGTTATTATTATCAATAGTAAGAATAATATTTTCAATAACTTTATTGATAATTTTTTAGGAAGAAATTTACATGTTTTCTGTTATTGTTTTTGTTTTTTATTGTTTATAAGAGGAGTTTCTAATAAAATTTGTTCATTTGTATCTATATGAGTACTAGTAAATTGTCTGTTAGCATTTTTTTGTTAAAGTCTTTTATTATTTTTGGAAATGTAAGAAGTATTTTTGATATAATTATTTGCTCTGGTTTCTGGTATGATAGTTATAAGTAAGAGTTAGTGTTAATCTTATATGTCTAAATTTAATCACTTAATCCTGAGATATTTAAGAATAACTGAAAGCAATTATTTTACAGTTCATTATGAAAGTATATTAAGCAGGTGTGAATACCAGAACTGAAGCAAAAGGAACTATCTAAAAAGTAATGATGCAAAACACTAATTTCACCAACTGGAAGCCTAATGAAGGTGAGAAAACTATAAATTAATATGTAAGAAAATGGAATAGCTTTGAGAGTTGGTAAAAAAATAAAAAAAATGATTTGCTATAATAAACTTTGAATGTAAATATCTCGATATCTACTAGACTGAGCCCTTTAAACTTGATACACTAATTCAGTAGGTTCTACTCTTTCAAACAAGACTATAATCATCCCGATCCTATTATCCAATCCAGAAATATTTGGATAAAACTAAAAGCAATTATTTTAAGATTTATCATGAAAGAATTTCAAGCAAATGCAATTATCAGAACTGAAGCAAAAGGAGCTATCTGAAAAGTAATAATATTGAATACTAATTTTAGTATCTGAAAATCTAAAGAAGGTAATAAAATTATATGTTAATATGTAAGAAAATAGGGTTACTCATGTGTTGTTCTCTTTATTTGGTCTGCTTATATTGCAGAAAGAGATTTGTTAAAAAATAAGAAATAAAAATAAAAAAAACAAAAAACAAGCTATTTTTAGATGATCAGATATAATGTAAACAGATAACATAATTTGAACATTTACAAGAATACATAAATAATCAAAAATTATAAAGCAATATTACAATGAATAGGAGAATAAAGTATTTTTTTTACACACAATTTATGAAATTCAAAGTGAACTTTACTCTTAATAAAAATTATTTAAATTTATTATTAATTATTATAATTAAAAAACACATTTGAAAAAAAATAAAATTTTACATAAAAAACTGTAATTATAATATTTAATTATTATATAAATTACTATTTTATATAATCTTAAAATACAATAAAAATCAATAAAAAAAATTGTTTTTAAATTTATTTAAAGAAAATTAATTATATTAAAACAAAATAATAACTTTTAAATACTTTTATTTGATACTTTTTTTTTATAAAGTGTGGTAATTTCGTGATATATATTAAATTGATATAATATTTTATAAATTATACAAATATAATATTCAAATCACATGAGAAGAAAATTTATATGTATATAGATTCAGATATATAGAA